ATGTCTTGCTACGACCTGTGCCCACCGAAAAGCGGCGTCGCCGTCCCCCAGCCCATCGCTGAGAGCTGCAACGAGCTGTGCGCCCGGCAGTGCCCCGACTCGTCGGCCTTCATCCAGCCGCCCCCCGTCGTCGTCACCTTCCCCGGCCCCATCCTCAGCTCCTTCCCCCAGCAAGCCGTGGTGGGCTCGTCCGGAGCCCCCGCCTTTGGGGGCAACCTGGGGCTGGGGGGCCTCTATGGCGCCGGGGCCACGCTGGGCTCAGGGGGCCTCTGCACCTTTGGCAGACCCTACGCTTCTCCTGCCTGCAGCCCTTGTGCCCTGCCCCGCTACAGCAGGAAGCTCTGGGACACCTGTGGGCCCTGCTAGACCTACCCCAGGAAACCCTGAGACCCTGAGACATCTCACCCCTCCTTTCCTTCTCTCTCCCTTCTACTCTCTCCCTGCTTCCTCTCCTCCTCTTTATTCCTGCCCTTCTCCATGGGTTTGACTCTACCATCCTCCCACTTGCTTGTTCTTCCAACAGCCACTTCTTGGCAAAAGCCCAAAGCAGCAGCTCTCTTTAAGCCCACAGGGAAAACCTGTCTGCCTGTGCCTTTTGTGTTCTTATCCAGTGTTTTATTCGTGCTCTTTCAATAAAGAATCCTGCATCCAAATCTGCCTGTCAGGTTTTCTTTTCTAGGAGTCCTGTGCACTTCAGGGCTTCCTCACCCTGCACCTGACACCAGCCATCTGGGCCAGAGCAGTCTCTCTGTCCCAGCAGAGCCAGGCTGAGCTCCCTTTGTGGAGCCCCCACAGCCCTGACAGCTCAGGCCACACACGGTCCCACTGCTGAGCTCAAGGGCCCTTCCCAAGTGCAGACACATCTGCTCCCTACAGCACCTGAAACCCTGGGGCATTTGCAGACCTGGAGTCTCCCTGGGCACGAGTGTGGCTGCCCCAGGGGCTGGGAGCAATGCCTGGTGGGGTTCCAGCCCCTTTGTCATATCATGTGTCTGTTTGAGACATTGAGAAAAGCAGCAAATGGGAGACTTACACTTCCTCTTCCCTATCCTTTTACCTTTTTTCTTCTTCTTTCCCTTTATCTGCTGCTTCTTCTCCCTCTTCTTCTTCTCCTTCCCCTTCCATTTCTGATTCTTCTCACCCTTCCTCTCCATGTTCCCCTACTTCATCCCCTCCCCCTTCTCCTTGCCCTCTCCTTCTTCACCCCCTTCCCCTACCTCAACATCTTCCCCTTCCCCTTTTCATTCTCCCCCTTCCCCACCCCTTTCTTTTCCCCTTGTCTATCCCCTTCCCCATCCTTTTCCCCTTCCCTCTCTCTTTCCATCTTCTCCTTCATCTATTGTTTCCCCTTCCCCTTTTCCTTTCATCTTCCACGTCCTTTTTCATCCCCCTTCCCTTTGCCTTCTCCTTCCTTATCCCTTTCACTTTGTTCCCTTTCTCTTCTACTTCATCCAGTCCCCTTTCCATGGCACAAGCACAAATCAGCACACTTGGTCTCCTCTGTTCTCTGCCACAGAGAGAAAATCACAGAAATCAAAGCCTGAGCATTAAGGCAGGAGCATTTGCAAGGCATCTTGTCATGCTGCCACCTCATTGGGGTCACCCAGAGCCAGCTGCCCAGCACCGTGTCCACACAGCTTTTACATATCTCCAAGAACAGAGTCTTCACAACCTCTTGGACAACCTGGGTCGGTCCTCAGTCACCTACACAGTGAAAATACTGATTTGGGATTTTAAGGCGAATCCTCCTGTGTTTCAGCTGGTGCACGTTGCCTCTTGTCCTGGCACTGGACACCTCTGACAAGAGCCTGGATCCATCTTCATGATGCCTTCCCTTCAGGTATCTGTGCACATGGATGAGACTCCCATGAGCCTTCTCGATGCCAGGAGGAACAGTCCAGGCTCTCTGGGGCTTTCCACAGAAGAGAAGTGCTCCCTGTTCCTTCACTGTCTGCATGGCCCTTTCTGGCCTCTCTGCGGTAGCCCCTTATGTCCCCTGTGCTGGGGAGCCCAGCTCTGGGCACAGCACACAAGGCGTGACTTCATCACTGCTGTGTGGAGGGCAAGGATCCCCAAGGATCCCCTCCCTCTACCTGCCAGCCACACTCCTCCATGTCAGCCCAGGACACTGCTGGCCGCCCTTGCCTTGCAGCACATTGCCAGCTCATGTTCACCTTGGTGTCCCCCAGGACCCCCAAGGGCACTTGCTGAAGAGCTGCTCTCCAGCAATCGATGGCCATTTCCCAGGCTTGGAGGCAAACACAGGCTCTCATCCAGCCTCCTCTGTGCAGATGCCTGGAGATGTTGCCACGTTACTACAGAGCAGCCAGACCTGGCAGAGCTGGGGACACTCCAGGCTGTGAAAATGAAACAAAGGAGCACTGCCCACATATGCCTGGCTCTCTGCCCTCTGCCCTTTCCCCAGTTCCTGCAAAAGATTCTCTTAACCGTGCCTGCTGCCTGCATCCTCTTTCTGCTAGAACTTCCCACCCTCAACTCTACTGGGTATCTCAAAACCTGCATTTATCCTCCCACAGATGCCAAGCACCCACCCATAGGCTCTTCCTAACATGTGACAAAGATCGAGAGAGAAAGGACTTGGATGCAAAAAAACTTTATTATATTGATTGCCATGTGTTGGGGGAGGCAAAGGGATCTTCTCCAGAGCATTGTTTCTCAATACAGATGCTCCGTTGATGCGGCAGATCCTGAGGATTTGACACTGCAGCCTCACAGAGCCTTTTGGATCCAAGTCCTGCCCCACCAAAGAGCAGGGAGGAGAAGGGCAGGGAATGGAGCAGGGGGCAGAAGAAGGGGGCAGGGAAAAGTTAAGGGTGTGTGGTACAGCCACCTGCCCAGGCGTTGGCTCGGCTGTGGCTGCTCAGCACTGCTCAGAGCCTCGTGCCCGCCAGCTCAGCCCTGCATGGGGGTGGTGTTGGCGATTGGGCTGGGGCCAGTGCCTGGGGCTGGGCTGGGTCTAGCAGGGCCCACAGGTGTCCCAGAGCTTCCTGCTGTAGCGGGGCAGGGCACAAGGGCTGCAGGCAGGAGAAGCGTAGGGTCTGCCAAAGGTGCAGAGGCCCCCTGAGCCCAGCGTGGCCCCGGCGCCATAGAGGCCCCCCAGCCCCAGGTTGCCCCCAAAGGCGGGGGCTCCGGACGAGCCCACCACGGCTTGCTGGGGGAAGGAGCTGAGGATGGGGCCGGGGAAGGTGACGACGACGGGGGGCGGCTGGATGAAGGCCGACGAGTCGGGGCACTGCCGGGCGCACAGCTCGTTGCAGCTCTCAGCGATGGGCTG